AATTTGGACCCAGGGTCCCTGAGTCGTGGTCCATTGCTCTGTCCCCTGTGCCACGCTGGATAGTCCTAGTTTTGATATCATATGTTTCATAGAACCATAGAGTCATGGCGTTGGAAGTGGCCTCTCAGACCACCAAGTCCAACCTCTTGCTCAAGGCAGGAATCCCGATGAATGCAGATCTACCAGATGGTGGTCTAAGTTTCTCTTGAATTCTTAGAGCATTGTTCAACCTTTGCTTGATTCTTTTGTTTAATAGTGTGACAGTCTGTTGTTTTAGCTTCAAGTATTGTCTTATTTAATACTGTAAGTCACCTTCAACCCCTTTTCATAGAAAGCTGGCGTATAAATATTTTGAATAAATAAACAAGACATATGTGAGTGTTCCTGCAGACCCTCCAAAGAGCCTTTTCTCCAACGTGACTGACTTGGGGACTAAGGAAATTTTTAGAAGGCCAAGGACACACCTTATTTTTCATTCTCTGCCCAACTTTTGATTCTCTCTTCCCCATCCATCCATCCATCCATCCATCCATCCATTCAGATTTATTTTGCATTGCTATCTGTCTGTCCGTCCGTCAGTCCATCCATCCATCTGTCATTTATATCCTGCCGATCTAGCGCTGAGGCACTTTCTCCCTCCACCCAGCCTTTTCTCTTCCTGGAGGAAAGTGGCTACCACCCCATGTAGTGAACCTAAGTGAGGGGGCGGAGATCTTCCAGGGGAAGGTCCCGAACCACAGCTGGAGGGCACAGAGAGGATGAAAGGCTTCTTCACCCCTTCCCCGCCTTGAGTGCTACCCTGGCTTTACACCGGCGGGCACCTTCCCCACACCCTGGCACTGTTCTCTATAAATTGGGAAGCTGGCTGGTCGTCGTCTTCTCAGCTGGGTCTTTTCCCCTCCCGTGTGCTGAGATGGTGTGAAAGAAGCCACCGGCTCACATAAGGAGCTTCTTGGGAAAATAATCCCAAGGAAAAACCTCTACTGGGGCAATTCTGTGACTTGTAGTGTGAAAAAAGTAACTTTTTCCATTCTGGGGGAAACATCACCATTGGGGGTCATCTTTCCCACTTCATTCCCAATTTATATTTCAGAATGAGCCAAATGAGCTTGGATGGCCCATGTTGTGGTGGTGGAGGGGAACTCCTTAGTTGCCTTTTGGGGGAGAGCTTATGACATCGGTTGCTGTGGGATCCTCCGTATTTTGTGGCTGGCGTGATGACTTGTGTTTTGTGTCTGCTTGCCTCCCTGCTCCGACCCCTGGAAGTGCCCAGACCTAACCTCGTCACTTGTCTGGAAGAAGGGGAAGATCCGTTTGTCCCGGATCCTAAGGAGGAGAGAAGAGCGGCCGATAACTTCCCAGGTAACTGCTTTAAGGATGAACGCTTGCTTGTGGGAAGACGGCGGATCCTGGACGTTTTGGGGAGACGGGAATCCTGTTGCAGTCTCTGACTATCTTGGGTGAGGTCCTCTATAATAGCAGGCGAAGACTAAATCCACCCAGTCCCCAAAGTTTATAATGCCGGTTCCGTGTCACAGAAGCCCTGGGTCATAGGCTCACACATTCCTTTTTGGTTAGGACTCCAAATCCCAGCATCCTCTTTGTCGGGAATTTCGCCTGCCAGACCCACCCCTACAGACACCTAAATTGTGCTCACCTGGAGGAAGGTTGAAGTGGGGAGCTGCAAGGCCTAGGACGGAAGGTCCTTCTAGGCCTAGTTTCCTGTTAGAACTGGAAGCTGTCCCAGTGCCTGCTGGGAGTTCTATGACCAAGCTCAGCCAGAGTGGTCAGTAGGGAATGGGTGTGGCAGGTGGAACACCTCCCAGAATGGAGGATTATGGCATTTGGAGTCCAAACCAAAATGGAATCCAGGTGCCTACTTGGTTATGACGGCATGGATGCCGTTTTCCTTCCCCATCTTAATTCTCCCTCCCCCACAAGAAGTCCTCCAAACTCACAGTGTTCTAAGATTTCTCCCGGGATTGCTTTTGCGCTATGATCTTGGAGCCCACCGATTCACTCAAAATGCATCTTCCTTTGGTTATAATGGTGTCCTTCTTCCTCATTTCATCCTCTGAGGACAAGTTAAAAGAGGGCCATTATTCTTTAGATCATTAAAAATCTTCACGGGGGTGATAGAACCTAAATGCCCTTCTATCACATACTATTGTCAAAACACCCTTTATTTTGTTTCTTCACTATTTATTGTTTTGTCACTTGAGTAATGTAGCCACAGGAAGAATACAGCGGTGCCTTGACTTATGAAATTAATCAGTAATGGAATGGTGTTTCAAAATGTTCGTTAAGTCGAATCAGCATTTCCCATAGGAATGCATTGAAAACCGATTAATCCGTTCTGGCTGTTTTTTGTTCTTATGTAGAGGCGCTGTTTGTAAGTCAAAGCATTTGTTCCCATAGGAACTAATGTAAAAGTGGTTAATCCGTCCTCTACCACTAGGTGGAGAAATTTTTTTTAACCTAAGATGACCTAAGGTTAAAAAAAGAGCAGGAAAGGGGGGACCAAGCAGCTTTAAACCAAAGCAAGCACCTTTTAAACCAGCTTTTACATTTTAAAATTACAGTACCAGGCAGTTCAAAGTCCATTTCCTACTTTTTCCATGGTTTTTTTGTTCGAAAGTCAAAGCTCCGTTCGCAAGTTGAAGCAAAATTTTGTAAATGGAACTATTCGTAAATCGAACTGTTCGTATGTAGGGGCGTTCATAAGTCGAGGCACCACTGTACTTTCTAAATTTTCCTCTCTTCTCCTCCTTTCATGGACACCAACTTATGTATATTGATCTTTTACCCTGTTAACATTCTTTGCACTGTTGCCACACATGCAGTACGTTTAAACTCAGCTGGGCATCGCGCTAAGGACTCCATTTTGATTCTCCTCACAAGGGTTGCAAAATCCCGTCTCCAACTTCATCTTTTGGTGGAAGGAAGATCCGTTGAGCTTTGACGAACTCTCCATGGAGGGTGGGGGATCGTCAGGGAAGGGTTTTAGTGTGCCTAGAACCTTTGTCGTGGAAATAGAAATCTCCATAATCCATGGCAGCGGTGGGAGCAAAGAAGTCCTTCTTCTCTGTCATGGTTGGATCTGTACAGAGTCACCCGGTGGGCCGCTATGAAGTGGTCAAGGACCCGTGACATGCCAGTCTGCAGGAAGAGAGCACAGACCACACTGGTGTGCCTAGAACCTTTGTCATGGAGATAGAAATTTCCATAATCCATGGCAGCGGTTCCTTCTTCTCTGCCATGGTTGGATCTGCACAGAGTCGCCCGGTGGGCTGCTATCAAGTGGTCAAGGCCCCGTGACATGCCAGCCTACAGGAAGAGAGCACAGACCACACTGGAGCTCCCTGTGAAGAATTCGCACAATGCTTTGCAGGCAAAACTGCAAGCTTCCCCCCCCCCCGAGTGTCTCTGTCTGAGATTGGGGTTTTTTAAATATATGGCAGTGCCTTGTTGCTTTACGTCCTTTGTTGACATTGATTTTGTTTACCCTTTCGTGTTATATTTGTTGGCCCTTTAGAAAATAATTCTGTAACTGCTGTTCTTAATTTTTAATTTTGTTTTATCAATATGCCTAAGGTCCTTTTTGAAGAGAAAGGTGGAGTAAGAACGTTTTAAGTGAAATTAATTAATAAGGAAATTTAATCCAACTGCGTGAAATGCATTATTTTTGCAGCAAGTGCTAGTGAATCTTGTGCAGAAGCAGTGGAATTTATAGCATTTGGATGGTTTGTACCAAGCCGCCCAGAGTGGAAGAATTTACCAGATGGGTGGGATATATATATATATATATATCCCATAATTCTCCTTTGTAGAAGTTCCACTGCACAGACACTTAAGTGTGGCTCAGCTACGAGAAAGGCCTAAGCTGGGAGCTAGGCCACCTTGCTAGCTAGGCCTTTGTGGCCTAGCTCAGCCTAACTTCCTGTTCAGAAAGGAAGCTGCCAGCTAGCACTGGGAAGCTTCCATTCTGAACAGGACGTTTGGGTGGCACCTGGATTACCCAGGCAACAATTTAAAAAAATAAACATTGCTTTTCAGCTTAGACCTTTCTCCCATGTGTGCCACATTTACTGTCTATAGGAGTTTGTTGTGTGGAACTCGCAAAGTGGTTGATTGTTGGATTTGTAGTCCAAAAGATCTAAAGCCAGGAACCAAAATCAAAGAAGCAAGAAGTGTTTTCAGATGTCATTGAGGGACCCTCCACAAATCAAGGCCTTATTGGGTCAACGGTGCCATTAGATATGCAGTCTGGAAGCAGTCTATTTACCCGGCCCCCCTACACAAAGCCTACTCGGGGCGGCTTACATGGATTAAAACACAATAATATGACATGTATAAAAATCATGTACTCATTTAATCTGCAGTCTGTCTACAAGCGGCACAGGCTTGGATGGAATACCATTAATGGGAAATATTTAGTCTGCAAAATATTGGGAGTGTCTGGAGACTCACCAGGCTATACCAATCATGGGGGACCCTCCATAAATCAAGTCCTTATTGGGTCAATGGTGCCATTAGATATGCAGTCTGGAAGCAGTCTATTTGGGCTAGATCCTTTATCAGTTCAAGAAAGAGGAGAGTTAGGAGGAAAAGGCTAACCTTTTTTCATTAAAGAATTGTTTAATTGTGTTTCTTCCCTGGTGTCGGGTTTTGTTTCTCCCCATGACTTGATTAGATTTCTTGTTCGACTGTTTCAGGTAAAAGGAAGGAAAGCAAGAAAGGAGAACAGGAGAGAATGAAAGAAACTAAAGACGGATCAAAAGGGAACATGTATACTGCTTTTGAAGGAACTGATCGGCATACATTTCCAGCACTTGAAGAAGACCCTGGGGAAGAGTTGTTAATATGCTCGGAGTGCGGAAAGAGCTACACTCCCAAGATGTACCTTATTCATCAACGCGTTCACAACCAAAAGCATTTAGAGAGCGGAAAGCAGTGGGGGTACGGCTTAGATCTTCACGTGCCTCCAGTATACTGCCCAGGAGAGAAGCCTTATACGTGTTCAGAGTGTGGAAAAAGTTTTTCTTCCAGCTCGAGCTTTAGAAGACATCAGGTAAACCATGCAAAAGGAAAGCCCCATAAATGTTCTGACTGCGGGAAAGAATTTGTGTGCAAGTCGCATCTTAACTCCCACCAAAGAATCCACACAGGGGAGAAGCCCTATGTATGTTTGGTGTGTGGGAAAAGCTTCCGTCAGAGCACGTATCTTAAGTCTCATCAGCAAAGTCACACAAGGGAGAAGCCCTATAAATGTTCAGTGTGCGGGAAATGCTTCAGTCAAAGCAAATACCTTAAGTCGCATGAAAGGATCCACACGGGGGAGAAGCCCTACGAATGCTCGGAGTGCGGGAAGCAATTCAGGTGCAAGACTGACCTGCGGCTGCACAGGAGAATCCATACTGGAGAGAAGCCCTACAAATGTCCGGTATGTGGAAAGAGCTTCAGTCGGAGTACGGTCCTTAAAATCCATCAGAGAATTCACACTGCAAAGAAAACCTATCTGTGCTTGATATGTCGAAGGCAGTTCAGTCAAGTCACGAGCCTTATTTTACATCAAAAGCAGCACACGGCGGAGAAGACCTACACATGTCCTGACTGTGGGAAAAACTTCGGCTGGAGTTCAAACCTGAAGAGACACCAAAGGATTCACACCGGCGAGAAGCCCTATAAATGCTCGGAGTGTGGGAAGCAATTCAGGCGCAGTTCGGGCCTTAACTTGCACCAAAGA